CCCCCCCCCCCCCCAACCAAAAAAAAGTTTGCCATAGTTGCCAAACTAAATGTTGTCAACCGGAAGCCACTGTCATGTCTTTACTTAGTTCATCACTTGGACAAGGTTTACGACTGTTCCTATTTTTAGTTTGGGATATATGTTAATGAAATTATTTATACTCTTTCAGAGACAGGTCCCGGACGTTTTAAATATTCTTCCTGTCGTCTGCCGACAGACAGGTCCCTGTACTCTGTCTTTGTTCAAGGTAGATGTGATAATGTTATCTAAGCACGGACACTTATCTTTTGCAGGGACTTGAGTAAATATAAAAGTTGGTTGCCTATTTCTTTACCTGACTTCATTTTCTGGCTGTTTGAGGTTTTATTAGACAATATTTTTTGCACATCAGTGAATTACTCTTTGCTGATGACCAGGCCTTGATAGCAAGCACCACCACCTCACAGCTTCCGGTCAAAATGGAAGCTAGGCACGGCCACTGTTTTGAGCTATGGCAATTTTTTTGCTTCTGCCAGACGGTGGCCGTTGCATTTTTGCTCCATTTGAAGACTGAAAGGATATAGTTTCGTCGCCCGGCTTCTGAGTTAAATGTATAGCATGACACTTTGAGCTGTGGATTTTATTTGGAATGTTTTTCGACTATGACCAACGTGGTGCAGTGAATTGTAGATTCAGAAAATGGCGCTATGCCTGTTGTCGCAATGTTGGTGGTGCCATTATATGATTAAAAATGATCTCGTGTGCAAATGCTGATCTGTTGGTGATTTCATCTTCCATCCATATCGGACTGTGTGTTAGCATTTCGGATGGTTACCGTATGCTTTTAATGCGTGTGTATGCTAGATATGCTGAAACAGCAGTCTGTCAATCTTTCCACAAAGGACTGTGATAAACATTGTGTGTGTTTTTCGTTGGCACAGGAGCGGAGCAACTATGGTGACCCGTTTGCTGTGAAGCTGAAACTAAGATTACCAGATTACCAGCTATGAATGAAGAATGTAAAACAAATACAGTGAGAATAAACACTGAAAAGACAGAAGTAATCCCAGCTGAAAGTAAGAAGTAGAACCCAAACATAGCAGTGGCGTTTAAAGACAGGAATCTGAGTTTAAATATATGGGATCAACGTTCATCGGAGGTGGTAAATTAGATGAAGAAATTACCATCTGCTGCAGTCAAGCAAACCATGTACTGGGACAGCTAACCCCCTTCTTACAACACAGGATAATCAGCACAAAGTAACATACAGAGCGTGTTCATCCCAATCCTATGCTACCAGTGCCAGTCATGGTCATGCACAGGAAACCAGAAAACAAAGTTAGTAGAAAGAGAAGGGACATGTCTGGGAAGGGCCACAGGGGTGAACAAAAGAGATCACATCAGGAATGAGGTCATACGAGAACAAGTCCGCACGAAACCAGTTTTAAATTGCATACAAAGACAGCGAATACAACCTATCAAAGGCAATACTTTTGGCCAAGAGAAACATCGGTGCAAGTCGATATTTTACGGTTTGCTGAGTGAATTACAAAAAAACAGTGAAGTTTATACTAGAGACAGCATTATAGATATAGATAATTTATTTCAAGTGAAAGAAGAGCAAGAAAAAGAAATGGTCTGCACACTTAAGAGAGAATATCTTTAAGGGTTTAGGTTTAAACAACGGTTCAACATCATGGCACATGGGTGTAACCCATAAGTGCTCCGTTCTACTTCTATCTCTAGCCTGAGTCTGAAAAATATCAGCGTAGGGCACGAACTCCGTAGCACCAGCGAAGATTCTGAACTACTTTTGGCAGATTTTTGACTCCAATTTGTTTGACCGGACAGCACCGTTAGGCTGTTTTTTTTTTTTCGATTCCCAACTGTCAAGGGATTTTTCTACCTGCGCAACAATACACATGGGCGTCCAATCCCACTACCTAGAGACCAGGGGAAATTACTAGAAGTGCACATGACGAAATCCCAGCCTTCAGCGGGGCCTGAACACGAGACCTCTAGCACTCGAGGCGGACGCCATGCCTCGAGACCACTCAACCCGCTTCTTAGAGAGAATGCCTTTTGACGCCATACAATACAGAGAATGCTCGAAAAGCGAACAACGTAGAGCACTAGGTAGACCTAGAACAAAATAGAGAGGTTACATCAGAGAAACTCTACATCACAATGCGTCTTTGGCCGTGGCGACCAGAAAAGCAAGTATCTCACCCGAAGGAAAAAGAGGTTTTGAGGTTTGAACAACGGATCAACATCATAGCACACAGGTAGTAACCTTTTAGTGATTTGTTCTTCTTTTAAATCAAGTCTCTAAGTCCAAAGAAGCTCGGCACAGTGCACAGGCTCTGTAGCACCGGCGATAATGCTGTAATACTTTGGACAGATTTTTAACTCAAATTTTTTAGATTAGATTAGATTAGCCTTAACACTCTTACAGTTCAAATGAGTTATCTGTAAGTAAACTTTACCCATGTTCACTTTTGCTGTTTATGACTTGGTTAGTGTTTTAATGCTACGCTTTAGTTATGCCCTTTAGTTGGGACGGGTAAAGGAGTGGGTGGCGAGGGCTGGTTGGTCATAGTGGTTCGGGGAGGATGAGTGGCAGAACGGCGACGTAGGCCTGACTAACTTTTTACCCCACTAGAACATCACAATGAGTGGTGGTAGTATTAGTAGTAGTAGTATTTTAGTAGTAGTAGTATAGTAGTAGTAGTAGTTAGTAGTAGTAGTAGTAGTAGTCATAGTAGTAGTATAGTAGTAGTAGTAGTAGTAGTAGTAAGTATTAGTAGTAGTAGTAGTTAGTAGTAGTATATAGTAGTATTTAGTATTAGTAGTAGTATTAGTAGTAGTAGTAGTAGTAGTAGTAGTAGTAGTATAGTAGTAGTAGTATATAGTAGTAGTAGTAGTAGAGTATAGTAGTAGTAGTAGTAGTAGTAGTAGTAGTAGTAGTAGTAGTTAGTAATTAGTACGTAGTAGTAGTGGTAGTGGTAGTGGTAGTGGTAGTAGTAGTGTAGTGGTAGTAGTAGTGGTAGTAGTAGTAGTAGTAGTAGTAGTAGTAGTAGTAGTAGTAGTAGTAGTAGTAGTAGTAGTAGTAGTAGTATAATAAAGGTGGTGTTAGTGGTGGTGGTGGTGGTAATTGTTGCGGTAGTGCAATACTGGTGGTATTAGTAGTGGTATAACCCTATGACCACATTTCATGGAGTCTTTTTTTTTTTTTCTTCTTCTTATTCTTGATAACGACATTAGCTTGCATGTCAGTTCAGTATAAACTCGGTACTAGGTAAAGTCATGGGAAGTAAAGGCAGCCAGCGCGATGCTGACCATGTCATCCCCCAACTACCGATTAGTCTGTAAAATATGAGTCTATCATCGTAAGCTCCATGCCCGACTGGTGTAAAAAAGATGTTCTTTGTGGTAACGTTAAACACTAGCCCGACACTGCCTGTTGCAGGTTGCAGCTCTGAGATACAGTTAGTAATAGGCTCCACAACTGCATACCAGTCTTCGGACTGAACAAACCAACATGACATTACAACGATAAGAAACAAACCAAAAAACGCATACCGTCTCCTAAGTATATCCATGTTTTACAGCACTGCAGTAACAGACAAGACCACATAAATGCATAAATATGCGCACCCATAAATCAGTAAGATGTCAGATCCTGCATATTCAAAAGTAATTGTTGAGCTGTACTAAAACTATCTGTTCCAACTGCTTCCCCCTCTCCTGCCTCTTCGAAACTGCTAACACCCTAGATGTTTACATCCCAGCAACACGGGCAAAAATCCAAGATGAGCAAATCCTTTACACCCTGTTCTTAGACGGTTGGGCTACAACTAATGTACACTTCGGTTCAGGAAGCCGATGTGGTGTAGCGGCTAGTCGCTCGCCTGCGGATCTGAAGGTCGTGGGTTCGAATCCAAACAAAGAAAAAGTTCTTTTTTTTTTTTTCAAAAATTACCTGGGTCCCAGACAACCAGCCTTAGGTACCAGGTAAAGCCATAGTAAGTAAAGGCGGCCCGCGTGAGGCTGGCCAGATCACCCACATTCAGTGACGATTGGTCTATCAAATATAGGTCTAACCGTCTACGGCGGAAGGTGAGGAAAAGGGTCCTTTACTTTACCTTACTTTACCTTACTTTACTTTACTTTACCTTACTTTACCTTACTTTACTTACACTCTGACGGGATGTTGACCACGATTGCCACAGAGTGTGCGGAGTCATCTATAAAACATGGACCTAACATCATTTGCCAGTTACGCCTTAACGTTGGAACTTGAACTGTGGACTGCTGTAGTACATTCGCTACAGGCCTGTAAAGGCTGCGATTTTTTTCACGTGGACTTCTAGTAATTTGTCCTGGTCTCTGGGTAGTAAGACCAGACGCCCGTGTGTATTGTTGCGCACGTAAAAAAATCCCTTTGTAGTTGGAAATCGAAAAGAGTAGCCTAACAGCGCTGCCAGGGCAAAATTTGGAGTTGAAAATCTACCCAAAGTATTTCAGGGTCCTCGCCGGTGCAACAGAGTTCGTGCACTGCGCTGAGATTCTTTAGACTCAGGCTTGTGTTAGAAGGAGAACGGAGCACTTATGGGTTACACCCGTGTGCCATGATGTTGATCCGTTGAATAAACCAAAACATAAACATTCGCTGCAGGGCTTGGGCCCTTGCTTGATGAACGGGTTAGCTTAAAATACACTTCCGGGTGGATTATTTTATTGTCGCTGCTGTAGCAAATAAGCCGCCTACCTTCACGACCAGCGTGACAAGCTTGTGGTTGGTTCATTAGACAGACGTTAGACTGTGGCATTTGGCAGAGAGACATTGGCAGACATTTATCGGACACTTTGGCCTTGACGAATGTAAAACTCTTTTCCTCTAGGGACTCGGACCAGTCTACCCAGGCCCACCCCCCCCCCCCCACCCCCATCCTCATCCTGATAGAGCTGACCTTGCCATACGAGTCGTGAAGGCTTCCGGATTTCCATCTCGCTTGAAGATGACTCGTTACGCTAAGGAGCATGAGAATCCTACAAAATCTGCCAAAGCATGTGGGTCTTACCTGCGTGTTCACTTCAAAAATACCCGTGAAACTGCACAGGCAATCAAGCACATACATCTGAAGCTAGCAAATCGCTTCTCAAAGAATGTAATTGGACAGAAAGAGTGTGTGCCATTCCGATGATTCAGTGGTGGTGTTGGGCGGTGCTCTCAGGCTAAGCAGTGGAAGGCAGTCCAGGGATGATGGCACAAGAAAAGTGCTGAGTTTCTGCTTCAGCTCCTAAAAAATGCAGAGAGCAATGCTGAATTCAAAGGTCTGTCGACTGAGCACCTTGTGGTTGAACACATTCAGGTGAATGCTGCCCCCAAAATGCGCAGGAGGACCTACAGAGCCCATGGACGCATCAATCCATACATGAGCCACCCATGCCACATTGAAGTTGTCCTGGCCGAGAAGGAAACTGCTGTCCCCATACCCAAGTCAAGAAAAGGGTGTCAAAGAAGAAGCTCCAGAAACAGAAGTTGTTGCAGAGAGATTAGATTCATCTGTAATCTTCATGCAGATAATTAAATTGAGTTGTACTTCCCCAAAAAAAAAAAAAAACAACATTACTTGTACAAGGATGAGCTGATGTTTTTCTGCAGAGTGCACACCACCTGGCCATCATGTTGGCGCCAGATGGTGACACGTCATTAGCAGATCTTACTACAAGGTTTAGTCGCAGCAGGGCCAATCGCCCGCCAGATCTCACCCCATGTGAGTATTCGTGGCAAGGCGCTCTCGCGGCCGACCCACTAGCCTTGCTGAGACTGTTGGCTGCTTTTACTAATTGAATGTTATACACGCGTGTTTCAACACATACAACTTAGGCCAGTGTTCTATCTTTTCATCCCTGGGGACCGGTAAAACAGGGGAAGTGTGTCGGGCACCGCTTGAAATTTAACAATAGGTGCGGTGGAGAAAGGGTGGGGTAACAAAAAAATGATGGTGGGTGTAGACAGCAATTTATTTGTTAAATCTTCACACAATCCTAATGTATATTATCTGCTTTTGCTTAGAGGCTAGACAATCTATCCATCAATGTAGTTGTGGATTCATGAAGCCGATACGGCAGACATTATTGGCGGGCCAACAAAAAATTCTCGCGGAACAAACGGCGCCGAACAACACTGACCTAGGCCACATGTCTAGCATCCAGTTTTTTTTTTTTTTTTCAAGCCGTGTTTCTAGTCCCGTTTTATCAGATGGGTCAAATCTCCAGCGTCCTTTTATCAACTAGCCACATTCTTAACACCATGCGATATCTTATGCAGCATCTCTAGCCCCCTCTGCTATCTCCTAGGCCACACTCTTAGGTCCCTTTGTATCACGTCCTTTACTTAGTACATTTTCAACCCATGGGACACACACTTCGCTAAACAGGTCCCGCACCGAGCTCAGATTTCAGACAACTTCGAAACTCTTTTTTTTTTTTTTTCATTTCTCCGGGGGAAAAAAATTGGGGCAGGGAAAATATCGGGGAGGGCACGGGGCTCAACTAGCCTTCCCTCATACCCCTAATAATTGTCTAGGGTCGGGTCAGGGCTAAAACCATGTTTAATTTGCAAAAATAATAATAACCCGTATTCATACTATTATTATTATTATTATTATTATTATTATTATTATTATTATTATTATTATTATTATTATTATTATTACTGTGCAATTAGGCTTAACTCTCTGAAGCCCACGTATACAATTATTGAAGAGGGGCTCAGAGGCTTCAGCTTGGTTTAAGCAAGCAATAATAATAATAACCAGTATTAGTATTATTGTGTGTTGATTGGCAGATAGAATAGGAACTTGAAATAATATGAAATAAACAAACAAATGCATAATAAGACGTCTGTATAGACCTATAGTTGGGTGGGCGAGGGAGGGGGGCGAGGGGGGGGGGCGCTACTGACACAGAAGATTTCTACGATCTCCTTGAAAATATCAGAGATGAAGCCGAAAACGGGACATATTGATTGTTTTAGGAGGTTTCAATGCTAAAATAGGAAAATAAACCTATACAAATGAACAGCCTTAGAAAACTAACTTACAAATCCAAACAATAATGGATAGAGGTTTATCAACCTCGCAAAAACCAAAGGACTTCAGATAAGCAGCACCAGATTTCAAAGAAAAGATATAAATAAACATGGCAATCACGTGACAAGATAAATTATAATCAAATAGATCACATTTTAATCAAAAAAAGCAATGCATCGAACATGCAACAAGTTAGAAGCTACAGAGGAGCTGGGTGCCTTAGTGACCACTATCTGATTGGTGCACAGTTAAAAATCAGGCATATTAAGAGATCCTTCTTCGTCAAGCTGCAAAGATCACATCCAGGAAACAATTGATGAAGCGTACAAGAAACATCCATATCAGAGAAAATTGCTGATGAATTAAAACTTAAAACTGAAATTTTACCAAATTCCTCAGCGAAAGACGTTGACCAAACCTGGATGAACATTAGGAATATAATTCAAACTACTGCAGAAGAATAGCCTGGTGTGTCCGCCATAAACAGAAAGAACAAATGGTTCCATAAAAAAAATGTGAAGAAGCAGTCAGTAAGAAAAGACATTCCAGGCAGATGTCACAAAATGATACCAACAACAAACAAAATTAGGATTAATATCGGGGTTGACAGGCCAAAATAGGGACCACTATATCTCTTTGGCAACTGATACCACAAATACAATAGATACACATGATACCTCTTTTAACTACAGTGAAAATGCGGAAAATGCAGTGGTACGGACATGTAATACCGGCCTCTCAATAACTATACGTGTACTACAGGGCTCAGCAGAGGGTAAGATGCTGACAGAGAAGGGCCTGGATACAGACGATGACTAGCTAGACCTGTCTTAGGCGTGCAACCATAAAGTCCATCGCATCTGACAGTCAAAGGTGGAGGAGCTGATCAGACCGTCTACGGCAGCTGGTGATCCAACGATACGCAGTGTTGCGGGATGATGATGATGATATATCTCTAGGAAAGTTGAGGCGACCAGCAGAATGTTGACTACATTACCCGTCGAGTGTCGATTTGTCTAAAATATGTTGGTTCTAACCCTATACTAGATCTATTGCCTCCAACACCCACATGGTACTTCGCAAAGGTTCGATGAGCTGCTCGGGCTGGGTTCAACGAAACGATCTATTACGGTGTCCGTGAAACACAACATTCAGCGTGTCAGAATGTTTGTAAATGTCCAAAGGCACTTGAAATGTAGCTCCGGGCTTTCCTTTGTGTGAAGTAGTTACCGGGATTAGCCCGAAGCTTGAGAAAACACACGGTTAATCTGACGCAATAGCAGACTGAACAAGTACAAAGATAGATAAAAGGCCCGAATACAGTGCGTGGTTGTGAAGTGAGAAGGTTTGTGGTTGTTGGTGGAGTCTGTAGACTTTCATATACAATGACTTTGCTTACCAGAACATTTTCTGATGTCACACATTCATCAACAAGGAACTTTCCTTGTGTTTATAATTCCTTCTCACGGGACATACTTTTCTTAACGTCTGCTGTTTTTTAAAGCTGCTACAAAACCTTACTCAGTTTCAGTTGCTGTTTAACATATTCTACAGTTATTATTTGAACGATTTATTATATATAAGCGACTGGTTTTCTGCGTCCAAGGAAGTTTGGGGGGGGGGGGGGGGGGGTCCTTTAAAACTTTGGGGGGAAAAATAAGTTTAATTATGAAGAAATTTTTTTTGGAAACTTTTGCCATTTCCCTCCATATTCCACTGTGAATCTGGATTGTTCAGCGTTAACAGTCATTAAATTACCAGTTGTTGGTGATTATTTATGTGTTTATTTTTATGCTTTTTTGACACTTTGATTATGTGCATCTTCTTCTCCAAGTTCCGTTAAGAGTGATTTGGATTTTTCTGTTCGTCCTCCCCTTTTTAACCACATTCTTTTATGTTAGGTAACAGAAAGAAGGGATGAGGGTGAAGGTCTTCCTGAATATCCAAAGGGGCACCGTGGCGCGGTGATTTCGGTCACAGGCATGAGGGGAAGTTAAGTCTGATGTGATGTGTATAAGGATGTGTATATTCCGTACCCCACTCGGGCGCCAGTCCTTTGTTCTGGTTTTACGGAACATCATGCAAGACTCCTGTTGCACGTCACCGTCGTGCGCTACGGATAATTCTCAAATGAGCATTAACAGAGTTGGCAGGGGATCTCGGAGCTGGCGGCCCCTAGAGGTGTAGTGTCCTTCTGGCTCCTCCCAGCCCGCCCCCAAAACGCCATGGGTGAAAAGTAACAAAACTCAAGGATCGCTTGCTAAATGTACCATCAAATGACAACTTGGTTAAAATTCGGAGGACGATGGAAACTGTGCTGCTGAGACTCAACCCTGACCGAGAGATTTACCCGCAGCCCAAGACGAGTAAACATCTCTTGTGGGCGACTTCTCGCAGCAAGATCCTACCTACGTACATCCTCTGTCAATCCTCAGTGTCGTCGTCACCGCGCTGAGGTAAATGGCAGCAACGATTTCATATGGCTGGCTTGAAAACAATGTCCGACAAAGTTACACCCCACGGCACACATGCAAGCTCAGAGTCCGACGATCATAACTCGTACCGAATTAGAAAAAGTCTGAATGTCCATATCCACTGGTCCAACTCGCCCGAGTGTTGGGACCAAACAGGTGAAGCCACGCCTGACGCATTTTGCTTACCCCATTCTGTCGTGCTAAGGGCATCAGCTGAAACAACGTTAAAGGTGTCTAACGTAAGATGAAAAAGAATGTACCTATTTGTGTGTTCACAAAACGTCCTAGACCTGCGGGCTGCTCCCGCTGATCTCCGGAGAGCGCAGCCTTGTTAGCGCGGACAAGCTCAATACACGGTTGTGAGGTTAAGCAGTCATAGGCAGGACGTGGACGATTCCTTGGGTGAGCCCAGAACCAAGCATCATGTGTCGGCTCTGCATTTATGGAAGCCTCTTTGGATGGCGGGGAATGCCCATGATCTGCCCCTGCCTTCATTGAGGGCTGAAAACTCTAAATAAGAGCTGCCTTAAGGACGGACATGCAAGGGGGCCACACCTGTTAAAAGTCAAAGAGGACACCACACAAATAAGGCAAATATCTCGACCCACAAAAAAAACAATGGCCACAGTCAACCTAGAAATAGGCTTGACGTCTCCTCCGAAGTCGGAGTACATCTGGCCGGAGAGGCGGTAACGAGTACTGCAAACAAAACGAAGTAAACGGAATGTCCACGCAAATCAGGTCAAGGTAAAAGCCAAAAGTCCATTTTGGACGAACAACCGTGACTTACTGCCGGAATTCACAGCCGGTGAACAAGAAGAAGAACAAAGGGGCACCACATGAAAAGAGAAAGAAACCACAAGTTTAAAGTAACAGTGCCTAGAATTGAAACAGTTCCTGCTGGCAGCCAAGCAACCGCTCAAATATTAAGAACCCACAAGCTCAGGTCAAATATTACGAACCCACAAGTCCAGGTCAAAAACTAAGAACCCACGAGCCAAGTTCAAACATTAGGAACCC